TTTTAATTGCTGTTTGGACTACATATGTTTGTTAAAAAATATCTTTAGAACTAAATTTTTTGTTCCAAGAGGTAATAAAACCGTTTCAGCAAATTGTCACACAAGTTTTTGACAACAAATGTTAACTTGATCCTGGTGCTTACTTGTTACTTGAGAAGCGAGGGTGGAAGTTGTTGAATTATCTAAAACGTATTTTTTATTCATTATCTAAAAGGAATTACAATATAAGTATCTACTTCTATATAAATATAAAACTCAAGTCTACACCCTTTTGCGCCTATACCGTTGGTAATTTATAAATTCAATACCTTGCATAAATTGTTGTTATGTATCGAAAATTCCATATAGCAAGTAGCGACCTCTACTTCAGAATATGTACGTAAGGTAACTAATAAATAGACACGCGTTACGTTAACACGTTTCTTTTCTTCATCCTTTAATTGTGATAAAGCTCCAATATTATTGATACTCAAAGCTACAAACATTAGGTTATGGGACCAGTGATATTAATTAAAGGTGTTTCGGTGCTGGAAAGAACAGTTGTGTAGATTCGTAGAAAAACGCAGGTGTTAATAAAAAAAAAATGGCCGTCAATTACATGTCGAGTGTACCGAAGCTGCTAGGACGTGAAAATTATGACGACTGGGCTTTTGCCGTCGAAAATTTTTTCGTTCTCGAAGGACTTTCGAAGTGCATCTCGGGCACAGAAGAAAACACTGAAGTTGTGGCCAAAGCCAAGGCAAAGTTAGTGCTTACGTTAGACACATCTTTGTACATCCATATAAAAGATGCCAATACAGCAAAAGAGGTGTGGGACAAACTAAAAAGCATGTACGATGATTCAGGATTCACGAGGAAGATAAGCTTACTTCGTACCTTAATCTCCTTGCGCTTAGAAAATTGTGAATCAATGGAGACATATATCAACCAGGTGATAGAGACTGCACAAAAACTACGTCGCAGTGGATTTGACATAAGCGAAGACTGGGTTGGGTCACTGATGCTCGCAGGATTACCAGACAGGTTCATGCCATTAATAATGGCCGTGGAACACTCGGGAATAACCATTACAACAGATTCCATAAAAACGAAACTTTTGGATATGCAGGTAGATGGAAGTAGCGGAAACGGCAGAGGTGCTTTTGTAGCGAATAGCAAACAGGCTGGAAACTTCAGATCGTACCGAAAGGCAACGAGAGGTGGCACCAGCAGTACAACTTCGTCGACAAAGTCATCAGCTGATGCAAGTTCAACGTTTGTAAACAAAAAGGATTTAAGTGGCATAGTTTGCTACAAATGCAAGAAGAATGGGCATTACATGTCAAAATGTCCAAACAATAAATCTGAAAGTGGTTTTAGTGCCGTATTCTCAACGGGACAGTTTAGCGTGACAGACTGGTATGTCGATAGTGGTGCCAGTGTTCATTTAACTGCAAAAGGAGAGTGGCTGAAATCTAAAGTGAGCCCTGATTTATCGGACATTGTTGTTGCAAATCGTTCAACACTTACCTAGATTGTGCGGGTGAGGTTGAAATAAATACAGTGGCGGACAATGGTAAGCACCGTATTTTGTTAAAAAAGGTGCACTATGTGCCAGGCTTGACGACTAATTTACTGTCAGTTTGTCAGCTTATTAACAATGGAAATCGAGTATCATTTGATGACAATGGATGTAAAATTTATAATTCCAATGGCGTTTTAGTAGCAACTGCTAGTTTAATTAACAACGTGTATAAGTTAAATACACAAGATAGTTGTGCGGGTTTCTTAGCGAGCAGCGAAATATGGCACAGGCGCTTCGGTCATCCTAACAACAGTTATCTGAATAAAACTAGTGAGTTGGTTGAAGGACTTGTTTTTAAGGGACAAGCAAACATAACGAATTGCCAGGTGTGTTGTCAAGGAAAGCAAGCTCGTGTTCCATTCCCCAAGAAAGGTAGCCGTGCAGAAGGAGTTTTACAAATCATTCATAGTGATATCTGTGGCCCGATGGAGACAACATCATTAGGAGGTGCCAGGTATTTTTTAACTTTTATTGATGACTATAGTCGTATGTGTTTCATATATTTTATTAAAACGAAGGATGAAACATTTTCAAAGTTTAAAGAGTTTAAAAATTTTGCTGAAAATCAACAGAACACAAGTATAAAGGTGTTGCGAACAGATAATGGCGGCGAATATTGCAGCAAGGAGTTCCAAATGTACACATGGGCATCGTTCATCAGAGAACAAACAGCCACACGCCTCAACAAAATGGGATGGCTGAGCGATTCAATCGAACACTCGTAGAAAAAGCAAAGTGTTTGATGTTCGATGAGAATGTCAGTAAGTTCTTGTGGGCCGAGGCATGTAATACTGCTTGTTATCTAAAAAACCGTTGTGTATCTGCAGGGATTTCCAAGACACCATTTGAGCTATGGACCAGCAAGAGGCCAAACGTTAGTCATCTACGTGTTTATGGTAGCGTAGTAATGGTCCACGTCCCAAAAGCCTTGAGGAGCAAATGGGAGCCGAAAGCAACTAAACATATACTTGTAGGCTACGATGATAACACCAAAGGATATCGGTGTTACAACCCAGTTACAAGAAAGCTGATAACAAGTCGAGATGTGACAATTATGGAGAACATGAGGGAGAACGTTTTACCAATTGCCAACTCAGAAGAGGTCACCGATGCAGTGGGGGTAGAAAGCGAGAAATCTACATCGCTCGATGTTTCTGTGCCAGATGTCTCAGAACCAGAACGTAGCATCGACGATTATGACAGTGACTATGTGCCCGATGCAGCCATCGAACAGGAGCAATCGTATTCTTCAGAGCTTCCCAGAAGGTCGGGAAGGCCAGCAAAGAAGAAGCAATTCGAGGACTTCGTAACATATCTTGGTGCAGGTGGTGCGAGAATGGAATCAGATAACTTGGATCCTCCGAGAACTGTGTCTGAAGCGCTTTCCAGGGTAGACGGTCACCGATGGAAGCAGGCAATGACAGATGAATTGAATTCATTTTATGAAAATGAAACTTGGGAACTCGTCGATCCTCCAAATGGTGCAACAATTGTAGGTTGCAAGTGGGTGTTTAAGGTGAAAAGTGACAGTGTAAGTAACTTAGAATATAGAGCGAGGTTAGTTGCTAAGGGTTACACTCAGAAAGAGGGTGTAGATTATACTGAAACTTTTTCTCCAGTGGTGAGACATTCTACTTTAAGACTTTTAATCGCATTAGCAGTACAATTAAATTTAAAAATTAGGCATTTAGATGTTAAGACTGCATTTCTTAATGGTTTGCTCAAAGAGAATGTATTTATGATGCAACCAGAGGGCTTTGTTAGCGATGATAAAAATAAGGTTTTCAAATTGAAAAAGGCAGTATACGGTTTGAAACAATCGAGCCGAGCTTGGAATGAAAAGGTAGATCAAGTTCTCATTGATATAGCGTATAGAAAATCAGACTACGAACCTTGTTTATATACCAAGAAAAGAGAAAATGGCATGTTAACTGTAGTTGCTTTATATGTCGATGATTTTTTTGTTTTTACTAATGATTCGGAGGAATATAACTTTCTTGAAAACCAGTTAAGTTCACATTTTAAAATTAAGAATCTTGGTGAAGCGAGACAGTGCTTGGGGATACGAATTGTTAGGGACGAAAACTGTATAACTATTGATCAGGAATCTTATATTGTTGCCATTCTGAAACGTTTTAACATGTTAGATTGTAAGAGTGTTTGTACTCCATTAGAAAATGGCATTAAGTTAAGTAAGGTCAAGGATCATACCTGTGACGTCAGTTTGCCATATAAGGAATTAATTGGTAGTCTTATGTATGTGGCGGTAATGACTCGTCCAGACATTGCTTTCGCAGTTAGCTTACTTAGTCAGTATAATAATTGTTATACTAAAATTCATTGGCAAAATGCAAAGAGGGTATTGAGATATTTGAATGGAACCAAGCATTATTCAATGAAATTCACAAAAGACGAATCAAATTTAGTGGGCTTTGCAGATGCAGATTGGGGCTCTGATGAGAAGGATCGAAAGTCATATACTGGTTATGTCTTTAAACTTTCAGGTGGTTCTATTGCATGGAAGAGTTGCAAACAAAAAACCGTTGCATTGTCCACAACGGAAGCCGAGTATGTGGCTCTTAGTGAGGCAACTAAAGAAGCCATATATTTACGAAATATTGTTTTTGATCTCACTGGTAAATTATATTGTGTCACTATGTATAATGATAATCAGAGTGCTCAGAAATTAGCTAATAACCCAATTTCGCATGAGAGATCAAAGCATATAGACATACGATACCATTTCTTGCGGAACGTTCTTGCCGAGAAGAAAATTGATATTCAATATTTGTCGACAAAAGAAATGGTGGCAGATATTTTAACTAAACCTTTAGGTAATATTAATAATGCTAAGTTTGTTACAGGTTTAGGTTTGTATAATGAGTGAAAATTGAATTTACGATAAGTGGGGGTGTTGTTATGTATCGAAAATTCCATATAGCAAGTAGCGACCTCTACTTCAGAATATGTACGTAAGGTAACTAATAAATAGACACGCGTTACGTTAACACGTTTCTTTTCTTCATCCTTTAATTGTGATAAAGCTCCAATATTATTGATACTCAAAGCTACAAACATTATAAATAGGAGAGAAATAACAGCACATTTCAACCCTCTTCGCGTTTCGAGCACAAAACAATCTGTTTCAAAATATGGGAAACGATGCCTTTTTGATATTTTATCGTTACAATCCGCCACACAACACTTTTTACGGTCACATAACTTGTTCCTATTTTAAATCTTTCAAAAGTCAAAATTGGCATGTGTAAAACCATGTGTACGTATAAAATTGACGGTAAAAATATTTCCTGTAACGAGCAAAATTACAGGTTTTGCAAAAAAATATTTGAGTCTGCGATAAATAGTTCTCCGTACAACCACGGGAAACGCTGTAATCAGTGACAATTTAGCGCCATTTATGTTTCTGTTCTGTGAAGGTCTTATCACAGAATAAGACCTTCATATTCTGTGGTTTAATGTTTTGTGATAGGTCATCGCACGCGATCATGTTTATATAAATTTGGTCATGGTTCACTGTTCACTACCAAATTGTGCCACGAGTCAGTCTTGAGAAACATTTGAGCTTGCCTTCCACAGTGACACAGTAGTAGGTAATAATTGTTTCATAACTCCGGGGCTTATCGCAAGTATCGCACTGTTTCTAGTCGAGTTTCATTTCAGGTAAACATGGAAAAATGGCAAGGAAAGGTTGCAATTGTGACAGGTACAACTTCGGGGATCGGTCGGGCGATTGCAACGCAATTGGTTGAGGCGGGGGTGCATGTAAGCGATTCATATGGACTGACGTTATTCCCTTGTGAGTTTTTAGGTCGTTGGTATTGCCAGACGCGAGGATCGTGGAAGAGAACTTGAGTCGGCCTTGGCGGGAAAAAAAGGCAGGTACTACTATCTTACCGGCGATGTCTCTAGGGAGGAAGACGTGCTGAAATCATTCGAGTGGATTAAAGAAAATTTGGGACCGGTTCACATTTTGGTTAATAACGCCGGTATTATGCGAGAGACTGGACTGTTCGATGGGGAAACAAGCATGTGGAGGGAGGTTTTTGACATCAACGTTATGGGTCTCTGCATGATGACTAGGGAAGCGATAAGAGTGATGAGAGCAAATGATATAGTGGGCCATATAGTGCACATAAGCAGTTTAGGGGGTCACTTAGTACCTCCCGCCAGAGATGCAAACGTGTACTTCGCCAGCAAATTTGCTGTAAAGGCTCTGGCAGAGACGCTACGGCAAGAGCTGAACACAATCGGAAGCCAAATTAGGATATCGGTGAGTATTATGATGACGTCTTCGTTGTGTAAAGTCAGTTTGCAGTGTATCAGTCCTGGCCTGGTCGATACAGAAATCATGGACTGCAATCTAGACTTGAAGAACTTTAGTCAATTACTAGATCCACTAAAATCGGAAGACATTGCAGATATGGTCTTGTTTGTACTTTCGAGACCACTGCATGTTCAAATTCACGACATCGTGGTTAGACCAGTAAATCAATCAATATAAGGAGACTCACGAACCGTTTCTCAAACTGATTGAACTATTCTTTACAAGTTGGCTATCCATGTGAAATAAACGTTTTTGGCTTTACTAATCCTTTACTAATTTCGATGCTATCACCTTATCTGCAAAATCGAAGGCGAACGCTTGGAAAAAACGAGGCACTGGTCGCATATTTCTGTTTCTTTATTTAATTATGTTTAATAATACTTTGTCCAGATGGAGCGAATTCGCCGCGATTCTCCCGCGCGTAGGTACTATAAATTCGCGTAATGTTTGTGGACGCAAAGTATTGGCGCCTAGTGCCTCGCGCGTATAAATTCGCGACGAATTCACTCCATCTAGACAAGGTCATTCGTTGGCGAGTTGTCGCAGTGACGAGTCATCCGTTAGCAAATTGTAGTGGTCAGTTGTTGCGTTGGCGAATCAGTCAATGGTGAGTTAAAAAATCAGTTACAGAAATCTCCGCAAAAATGCTACCCCTTGCAGTGCGGCTATAACAACGCGGTCTCGAGCACCAACGCTGGCTACGTAAAGGTACCTATCGTCAAAAGCGCCGCCCTGAAGTTTAAGTTTGTGTTATTTATAATTTGTTTGTGTTTTATCTACAACATTTTATTTTTTTATAACCTTCAATCTTCGATTTTGAAATTGTCACGTTTGCTTAACCTTCCACTTACACTTGTAAAGTAGGCTTTCTCGGCAGCTATTCAAAGTGGTCCATAATGATAGCTGTCACGCTGTCACCTTTAGAAAACACAACCCGAAATTTCGCTCAATAAACGTTTGGACTAGTTCTCAAAACTGAATAATTGCCACCATCCGCCATTTCCAGAGAAATTACATACCTAAAATTATCAGTGGCGGATTTAGGATTTGGTCTGGGGAGGAGCGCATACAATTTTTAAAGTCAATATTTAAAAAACCTTTATTATACGTTTAAAAATAGAAAATTTTGGGCATAATACATAATATATTGAACAAATAACTAAATCTTTATAAATTCATGAAAGAACAAACCAGAAAAAAGGCTAAATGGCGAAGTCGCGAGTTTTCTTTTTGTCGGCGCAAATCTATTTTCCACGAAATTTGTCCAATATAGGTAACCTTATACGATTAGGGCATTGTGCGCAGGTACACCATCTTGCTGAAACCAACAGTTTCCCTTTTGTTTGCTTTTGTGTGCCGTACATCGTTGTATTCGTAGTAAAAAATGCTACTCAATATAGTATCTACTTTTTTTACGGGCCATATAAAAAAATAAAATTGATAATGATTTCTCCGAAATGAAACGTCTCAATGTCTCTTATAAAACTCAATAAGTGACAATGAGAAAATGTTTTTTTTTTGTATCTGCTCAAATAACATCAGACAAGAATAAAAACGAAATCAACAAATTTCTTACCTCAATTATTTGACCATCTTTTATGGTTTCCTCATCTGGGACACAGAGTATAGCTGCACTTCACTCAAAAGTTATCATCTGCAGCTGCCAGAAGAGTATTAGGTATTAATTAATATTTATGTTTAAATTTAATAATTTTTTTTTCACTAAAACGATGTTTTAAGTCAGTTATTAAATGATTAAGAATTGGAATGTATAAGTCTTTTCCAATAGGTGACCGCCTGCGTAACTACCACTGTCTAGGAGTGTCCGGGGGGGGGGGGGGGGCGATCGCCCCTGCGACCCCCCTTTAACTCCGCGCCTGAAAATTATCACATTTTGAAAAATTCGAACGAAATTACTCTTTGAAAATATCTCAATGACAGAACAAAATACGGCCTCTTTGACTGGTACGCACTTGATCGACATGTTAAATTAATAAACAAAAAATTCTGTCCAACGTATCAATATATGTTAATTTAGAGCACGGTCCGAGTATACGGACCGTGAATTTAGAGGACTTCAAGTACTAGTAGTGAAAAAAATAGTATATATACCACGGGAGAGAAGTCTATTATTGCCTTCGCACCTTACACCCCTCAGCGCAAGCGCCTCGAGATGTAATCTTAGTGCTCAGGCAATAATACTGGACTTCTCCACCTTGATATATAATGTACAGTGAGTATAATAACAATTGTGATAAATACTATTTACGGTCTGGACAAAATGGGATTCTGGGTGACGTCATTCGCGTATTTTAATACTGAACGTTTATTGCCTGAAAGTTACGAGGCAACCTACTCTCTTTACTGCTCGCCATGGAAAATACAGACACCAAACAGCGTGGCGCTAGAACAACATAAGAGCAACATTCCATAAAATTGTGGACAATTTAGAAAACAAGTAAAAAAGTTTTCGCCCTAAGGCGAGTAACTTAGCGCATTTTCCATGATTTGATCACCTTCCCAAAATGTCACAAAAATGGACATAATGCGCAGTCTAGTTTTTCTTGGTTCAGGTGCCCAATACGATTATCTTTCCTACGCGTTCGCACCTCCAAATTCAGTATGGTGCTTATGGACCTCGTTATGGACATACAGTACATGCTTGCCAAACGTGACAATGACAGCACAAGGAGATTATGTTTTGTTTTAATACTTCCATTTGACATCAATGCGTGGTTAGAAACAAGGATAGTATTATCGAAGAATGACGTAAACTAGTAAGAGAGGCAAATAGTCTTAGACCATATAGTACATGAACTGCTATTAGCCCTATACTTTCAATACAAAATGGGTGGTCACGGATAGAGGGCACTGTAGTCGTGGGTATGTGAATCTCAGGGTAAACTAAAGTCGTATGAACACCACTCGAATTGCGTAAAGAGTAGCTTTTATGGTAACCGCGTAGTACAGGAAGCTTTAAATACTCTTGATTATCTTCTATACTTCCACAAATAATAGGTTTGCTTTTTTTGGCATATCTAAACGATTAATTAATTGACGTTTGTTAATTTATAGGTTGACAGTTTGAAATCGTGTATAATCGGCCAACTTCGGACAGACTCGTTTACCCTGAAACTCACATACCCAGGCGATGTCATTGACCATATTTTAGTTAGAGTTAGCAGTCCATGTACTATATGGTCTAAGTCCATAAGACCCCATACTGAATCTGGAGGTGCGAACGCGCTATAGAAGCATATCTGTTATTAAAATTTCTCTATAAATAAGAAATTAGACAGTTGCGCATGCGCACGTCTAATGTTTACAATATGCGATATGCTTATCTTTACTAGAGACATAGGTAATGTTTAAAATTTCAAAAAAATCTCTCTATAAATAGGAAAGTTGACATTGCGCCGTTTAATCGTCAAGATTTTGCTTGGCTCAGATGCCAGAACTATACGCTACCGAATGCAAAAAGAACGAACTAAATATCTTGAACTGTATAAGAGTAGTTAAGTCCTCGGACAGACGGACAGAGGAAGTGGCTGCAATAGCGCACCCAACTTCTTTGGAAACGCGCTAAAAATGCCATGTTAGTTCATGAAAAAATGCTCCAAACGATATTAAACTTCAACAGCGTTTAAAAATTCGTATTCAAACCATCCAGCTGCCATATTTGAACAGGTGAAATACACTTGCTAAGACTTAACAACACTTTACCTATTTCTAGGGCTAAGCAATTGAAATGTTAAAATTTTAAGCAACATTGCTAAGTATGTCAGTACAGAAGACCACTTTTAACAATTTGTTGCTCATCTAGCAATTACCTTCACTATTAGTAAGTTGCTAAGGTTATTTAAAGATAAAGTTACAGAATTGGACTGATTAGTTGGTTGTCAATAATTTGTTATTGAATAAAACTTGTAATAGCATAGGGCTAAGGTTATAAGGTACAAAACAATTGATTATTTTTCTTCCCCTTTTCCTTTTCTTCTTCTTTATTTAGAACCACGACTGATTTATTTATCTCTCTCTCTCTCCCTTTCAATATACATATTTTTAAGTTCATTCCACTAATTGTTTTATTTTCTTAGTTTAGGGTGGGGTTAAGTGGTAGAGCAGTTGTAGGATGTCTCACCACAGAACTAAACTTCGCCCCGTTAGATTACGGAACATTAATTTCATTTTTCATTTAATTTTAATTATTTAGTTTATGATCTATTTGAATGTTTATTTCCTTCTGTACTTCCAGTAATCTAATAAATGTCACTTATTATTATTATTATTATTTAAAGTTACACAATTGGACTGATTAGTTGGTTGTCAGTAATTTTTTATTAAATAAAACTTGTAATAGCATTTTCTATACATACAGTTCGCTATAATTGGTAATAACAACAATTTCAATTATTATAAAAGTACATTTATTCTATTTACAGGAATCAAAATAAATCCTTACACCAATTTCAGCATCAAAACAAGCTAACAGATCCCGTGAAAGTATGGTAACTGGTTGAGCAGCAATGTCATTGAAAACATACTTTAGAGACGGGGCATTCAAAGCTGTGTTTGTACATTGCAATTCAATAATAACTTGATAATTAGGAATAACCCCACTCTGCTTCACTTCGATCTTGAAATTAGGATCAAAAGTAAAGCAAATCACAATTAACTCATGCTGAAATAGTGTACAGCATGAACGGGAGGTTTTTGCCTCCATTACAAATTTAGACTCTTGCTCAAAATAGTTCAAATTACGATGCATTCTTTCATAATGCTCTTGTGCTATACTGTACAACAAGTTTTTTTGACATATGAAACATTTATACATACGAAAAGGGCAGGAGCGCTCGTGGTTAACTATGCAAGTGCCCCTGAGTATTTTATCACAGTATTTATGCTTACATGAATCATTTTCTTTGGCTAATAAACATGAGAGTTCATTGTCTTCTGGTACCATTTTGTACTTGAACTGTTCCTTAGAATTATCGTAGCAATAACTGCAAATTGGTGGCAAATTGGCATCTCCGTAAATTGGTAGTCTTAAGTTTTCATGACACAATCCACACTTGAAAAAATTCACAATATCAGATTTTACTAAATTGGTGCTGTCACTGAGTTCTTGTTTTGCTTTTGTTGCGAGAGATATTAATATCGATGTAGCATTTTGTAACACCCCTTTCATTACGTGCAAGTTGATAATTTGCTCGGGTATACGTTGAGATAGATCATCGCTATAACAAACCGCTTTATGCTCCTTTAATGGTTTACAACTCGGTGTAAGACTATCGGGTTTCGAGTACTTTCTCAACTCGACTTGAAAATCCTGTTCCCCAACATCCAATAAAGCAACGGTGTACTTCAAGTCTCCACTTTTCGAGTTGTATACATAATCGACTATACAACGATTTTTGCTGTTTAACACAACAAAAGTGTCTATTGTATCTTCGTCCCTGTTAATTATAAACTCAGCATTTTCTGAAATGAATTTGTCATGTTTTTCGTGAATGTGCTGATGTACCAATGCAAAACTGCCTTTCCATTCGCATTCGGATTTCTTGCGTAATGGGCACTGAATCGGTTTAAAAGTGCACTTGCTTCTGTGCTCGTCTTCTTCGCCAAATTTGTAGGTCAGTGTGCAGCCCTGACTCGCATTTTTACACGGAAAGTACGCGTTTACCAACAGCTTCTCTAACGACACGTTCCGAAATGCCTTCCCTAGGTCTCCGAAGACGCAATTGCTGCATAAATCTCGATTGTCCTGCAAGATGTAAACGGGGGCCATCGACAGGTAATTTTGGCAAATGGCACAAACGAACTTTTTGCAATCGAATGGAATCGTTAACGACATTTTTGTCTTTTTTGATTTTATGATCACACAAAACAATAAAAAAAACTTCCTCTCGGACACGCCACAGAACAGGACCACGTGACTACAACATGAGCAACTTGTTGCTTTATATACAGCGTGGCGCTTCCTCAAAAGAAAGAATGACCTCCACGTTTTGCAGGTGTTTAGGCAACTAAAGTTGCGCACAGGTGGCAACCATGATTTATTCCCCTTTTTGCCATTCGCAAGTTAGTAACAGAAGTATTTCATTGTGTGGCCCCCCACTTTTTTGACTGAAATACACGTTTTGAAGCATCAGGAATTCGAATCAACGATAATCTCGATCGGTCTGTCGGTCCGTCTGTACTCTCATTTCCAACAAATCGAAAGCAAATGGATCGCATTCAGTTTTTCGCTTTTCCAAAAGTAAAGGTAAAATGGGTTGATGGGGGAAAGGGGAACCTGAACCCAGTGTGCAATAGACTGTGCAGTCCGCATTTCCCGGCCGAAGACTATGAAGATGAAATGTAAGTTATTTTGAATAAAGTGTTTAATATTTCGCTAGCATGTTTCTTTCTATATGCAATGTAGGAACTTTTCAGCACATCCATATATAGTACCATTTCGATCCATTTTGCATTTTTTGAACTTGCTCTGTTGTTGCGTTAATAATTAATTTTTTAATCCGTTTTAAACACTCAAATGCGTGCGAAAAAAGGCCTTTAAAACACACGTGCTTTAAAGTTTCTAAGTAATGATACTTCAAGTATGACTTTTGAAACTGTCATCTGGGTGAAATAAAAAATCCTCTTACATCGCTTTCTGTAGATGCAGAACATTTCTAGGGCTTGTACCTATTCTTTGGTTGAAGCTTTCACAAATGCGCGTAATTTAGCGTATGCTTCCAAATCTGTTCCACTTTTTAATCGTAGCATTGTTTGAAGTTTTGAATGAATGCACCAAAAGATAGAAGAAACCTTTTACATTTCCTTCATATACAGGGTGATTCCTATAGTACCTGCCACCGTTTGGGAGCGTGTAGGTGGTGCGTAGGGGAGTATTTTGATATAGGACACTTGGGGCCGGAAATCTAAAATAAGGGTGCCAGAGCCAAATTTACCTTCTGGAATTTCGCGCCTGTAGGTAGGCAACCCAACCGGCCGGCGGTGCACACGGAGCGATCTCAGGCGGCGATGTGTGGCTGACACTTGATCAGAATTTTGTTTAAACCCACGAAATCCCGTCTGCAACGACGCGTATCAAGTGAATAAACACTATGGCAATAGTATAATAATAGTTGGCTAGATGTAGGAAGTGCATTGAGAACAACGGTGGCCACGTTGAACACTTGTAAACGTTATTGCTTTTGACTGTCGTTTTCCGTCCTTCCCTTGTCGCTTCCTCGCGCTAACTCGCTCTGCATCGCTCCGCGCGAAACGTCGGTCGGTTGGGTTGCCTACATACAGGCGTGAAATTCCAGAAGATAAATTTGGTTCTGGCGCCCTTATTTTAGATTTCCGACCCCAAGTGTCCTATATCAAAATACTCCCCTAGGCAACCCCTATACGCTCCCAAACGGTGGCAGGTACTATAGGAATCACCCTGTATACTAGCATTATGGATGCATTTAAGACTTTATTCGTAAGTAACTTCCTATTCATCCATGGAAACACTTTTCATATTCTTTATAATGGGCTTTACTGGATTTGGATTTTACACCTACCAACGTTTGTTTAGATTTTACAACAAGCGATTTAATGGACGGTGTATCATCTTTTTCAACGGAAATCGCTTTATTCACAAAGACGATGATTTTTATAAGCAAACATCAAGTGACATTTCCAATAAAATCGTGAAATTACGAACACCCAGCCCACTTTAGACATGTATTCGAGTATAACGTCAATATTTCATTGTAATACTATGAGATACACGTGTATAATTGGTCTTTAAAGCACTTGCAACGTTAAAGGCACTCCGCTTCGCGTCGTGCCATTATACTCATTGCGCGTGCTTTAAAGACTTGATTATACACTTGTATCCTAATATACTATTTTTCACTACTAGCGTCTGATGACATGATTATTAACCTTTTTTCCACTTGTAAAGTAGGCTTTCTCGGCAATTGTTCAAAGTGGTTAATAATGTGGATATTATTAAATAGTAGTCAATAATGAGAGCTGTTACGCCGCCACTTTTAGAAAACACAATCGGAAATTTCGCTCAATAACATTTCGATAAGTTTTCTAAAATGAATAATTGCCACCATCCGCCATTTCCAGAGAAATTACATACCTAAAATTATTACATTTTGAAAAAATTCGAAGGAAATTACTCGAGATGTAATCGTGGTGCTCAGGCAATAATATACCTGGACTTCTCTATCTTGATATATAATCATATACAGTGGCACCACGCTCAGAAAGTCCCTGACGGCGTGTCCGAAGGCGCTAGAAATTTAGACCGTACATTCTCATTAAAAATTTAAAAACACTTTAAGGGAATTTTTATTTATTTATTATTCCTCTCTATATGCGTCTTGAAAAAGACGAGTTTGTATAAAACTGGAGACGGAAAACATAAAATAAGGCAAATTACAAGAAGTAAAGTGTAAACTAAAATAACGTGAAGCGTCAACTGTCAAAACCAAAGGTGCCGACTTTTGAAAATTCCAGGGGGGGAACAACCGTTTCTACTAAAAACTTGACACAGAGATAATTTATATTTCTGTATTTTAAAAAATGCAAGCATGTAGCAAATTGGGAGCGAGAGAACGTAAATTTACTTACTCTCCTACTTATATGTACATAATAAGTAAATATACCTAACTACGAGCAGTTCAAACTCTCAATTCATCCACAATCGAATAAACCCGTACAAGACAACGAAAATCAGAGGCTTGTACTCTACCTTTTTGTTGTTTTTCCTTATTAAAGTATATGAAATTTCTAGTGGTGGCATTGTCCCCCCTAAATTGTTCCAACCTCTGGTCAAAACGGAATATTTTATAATTATGGCGCGGAATGTATCGCGTCGTTTTACAGACTCTATATTGGCCAACCTGAATTTTTTCAAATTAGTTCGTATATTTTCCGCGGCTTTTCTGAGCATGGGTGGCACTGTACTATTTATGATCTGGACAAAATGGGATTCTGGGTGACGTCATTCGCGCATTTTAATACTTAACGTTTATTGGCTGAAAGTTACGAGGCAACCTACTCCCTTTACTAACCTTGGTCACTGGCCCTAAAATTAAACGCATTAGGCCTACTAAACTCTTACCACCTAAATTCACAACTGTTTAAACTTTTTAATTGTAAGGATAGGTATTTTTTTGGTTTAAGTTTAACCGATTAGACGCGTTGTGACTTTTAAAGTGACGTCTGACTTGCAATTTGTATTTGCTCGCCATGGACAATACAGATACCAAACAATGCGGCGCTAGAACAACATAGGAGCCACATTCCATAATTGTGGACAATTTAGAAAACAAGTAAAAAAGTTTTCGCCCTAAGGCGAGTAACTTTAGCGCATTTTCCATGCATTGATCAGTAATTCCCAAAAGGTCACAAAAATGGCCATAATAATGCCCATGCGCAGTCTAATTGTTACGATTTTTCTTGGTTCAGGTGCCCAATACGATTATCTTTCCTAGAAGCATCTGTTATTAAAATTTCTCTATAAATAAGAAATTTGACAGTTGCACATAAGTATCTAATGTTTACAATATGCGATATGCTTATCTTTACTAGACATCTGTTTAAAATTTCAAAAAAATCTCTCTATAAATAGGAAAGTTGACATTGCGCAGTTTAATTGTCAAGATTTTCCTTGGCTCAGATGCCAGAGCTATACGCTACCAAATGCAAAAAAAACGAACTAAATATCTTGAACTGTAGAAGTAGTTAAGTCCTCCGACAGACGGACAGAGGAAGTGGCTGCAATAGCGCACCCAACTTCTTTGGAAAATGCGCTAAAAATGCCATGTTAGTTCATGAAAAAATTAATCCAAACGATATTAAAAAAACTAGATGAGTTATGAGAACAATTGAATCTACAACAGCGTTTAAAAATTGCTAAGTGTGTCAGTACAGAATACCACTTTTAACAAATTTTGCTCATCTAGCAATTACCTACACTATTAGCAAGTTGCTAAGGCTATTTAAAGTTACAGAATTGGACTGATTAGTTGGTTGTCAGTAATTTGTTATTGAATAAAACTTGGAATTGCATTTTCTATACCTACATAACATTTCGCTTTCAATCTATAACTTGGGTAATAACAACAATTTCAATTATTATAAAAGTACATTTATTCTATTTACAGGAATCAAAATAAATCCTTACACCAATTTCAGTGGTAAAACAAGCAAGCAGATCCCATGAATTTATGTTAACAGATTGACCAGCTGTCTCATTGAAAACATACTTTAGAGATGGGGCATTCAAATCTTTGTTTGTACATTGCAGTTCAATAATAACTTTATAATTAGGAATAACCCCACTCTGCTTCACTTCGATTTTGAAATGAGGATCAAAAGTAAAGAAAATCACAATTAACTCATGCTGAAATAGTGTACAGCACGAAACCGAAGTTCTTGCCTGCATTACAAATTCATACTCTTGCTCAAAACAGTTCGCATCAGGATGCATTGTTTCATAATGCTCTTGCGCTATGCTGTACAACAAGTTTTTTTGACATGTGAAACATTTATACATACGAAAAGGGCAGGAGCGCTCGTGGTTAACTATGCAAGTGCCCCTGACTATTTTCGTACAGTAATTATGCTTACAGCAGTAATTTTCTTTTGCTAATAAACATGAGAGTTCATTGTCTTCTGGTACCATTTTGTACTTGAACTGTTCCTTAGAATTATCGTAGCAATAACTGCAAATTGGTGACGAATTGGCATCTTCGAAAATCGGTAGTTTTAAGTTTTCACGACACAGTCTGCACTTGAAGAAATTCACAATATCAGATTTTACTAAATTTGTGCTGTTACCGAGATCTTGTTGTGCTTTGAGAGTTATTGATATTGACGTAGCATTATTCAATGCCGGTTTCATTTTGTCTATGTTGATTTCTTCGGAGACACGTTGAGGTAGGTCGCCGATATAACAAACCGCTTTATGCTCCTTTAATAGTTTAAGACTATTAGGTTCGGAGTGGTTTCTCAACTCGACTTGAAAATTCTGTTCCCCAACGTCCAATAAGGCAATGGTGTACTTCAAGACACCACCACTTGAGTTGTATACGTAGTCGACAGTAAAAAAATGTTTGCTGTTTAACACAACAAAAGTGTCCATCGTATCTTCGTTCACGTTAATTATAAAGGCGGCATTTTCCGAAATTAATTTGGCATGTTTTTCACTAATGTGCTCACGCACCGCTCCAAACCTTCCGTTCCATTCGCATTCTGATCTCTTGCGTATTGGACACTCGATCGGTTTAAAAGTGCACTTGCTTGTGTGATCGTCCTCTTCGCCAAATTTGTAGGTCAGCGTGCAGCCCTGACTCGCATTTTTACACGGAAAGTACGCGTTAACCAGCAGCCTCTCTAACGACACGTTCCGAAATGCCTTCTCTAGGTCTCCGAAGACGCAATTGCTGCATAAATCTCGATTGTCCTGCAGGAGGTAAACGGGGGCCGTCGACAGGTAATTTTGGCAAATGGCACAAACGAACTTTTTGCAATCGAATGGAATCGTTGACGACATTTTTCACGTCTTTCTTGGTTTTATAGTCTATAGATGATATTCTTATTCATTGATGATATCACAGGATGAAAACAACCAAACAACTTCCTTTCGGACCACCCGACCACGTGACTAATTACTATAACAATAAACAAATGAGCAACAAGTTGCTTTATATACAGCGTGGCACTTCATCAAAAAGAAAGATCTCCACGTTTTGCAGGTGTTTAGGCAACTAAAGATACACAGGTGGCAACCGTGATTTTTCCCCTTTTTACCACCCGATTGGAACCAAATTTGGTGCACATATTCTTAGGCATAAAAGGACAGAATTGCACGTGCACAGGTGTGTGGGTGGTATCTGTGCTAACAACAGAATTTTTTTTCAAATTTGCATAAATGATATAGGTACGGCACGACGATAAAAATATGTAAAAATAGAGGAAATCGTTCGAGCCCCCCTCCCCCTCCCCCCAGCGGGACCATCGTTTTCGCGTCTTGTGGTGTCGGTACTGCGAAATCCGTAGCCGTTAGGGGGTCCGCACTTTCGGACCGAACGCGCGAACGCCCCGGAAGGTATCGAGTTTTAAAATTTGTGGAGGGCGGAGGAAAAGAGATACAAAAAACTTACGATTAGCCTGCCCCTCGTGGGATACGCGGAAGATACGAGGCGGAGTGCTTACGAATTTTTTGAGTAGAAATGCTATTTCAAGTACTGTTGCGACATGTACCAATTGTTTCATAAAACTATCACTTCTAGGAGAAGGAAGGGGAGGGAGGCAAAATTGTACTCGAGCATCGTCCACAATGAATGCGAGAGATGTGAACTAAAGAATGTAAAAGATTCAGGCAGATTCATACCAATCGCTAGCATCTGCGTTTGTGTATAAGCGTAGATGCTTCAATAGAAAGGAAATACTCATTCAACTTTCACACTCAACCTTTCAAAAACGAATCTTAAACACCCCCAAAGCATTCCACCCCCAAACCACTCTCCGGATTGACCTGCAGTTGTTTAGTCGCCTCTTACGACACGCAGTGCCCTCTGCGGTAGGGTTATTCTTTCCCGACCCTACACGGGATCTATTGCGAGCGGGAAGCTAAATAGAAAGACAAAATATTTTTTTCTAACTTGAAGAACGACTTTTTAAAGCAGAGAAGGATGAGATGAGTTTCAATTTCAACTGCCAATAAAAGGTGGTGAACAGCAATAGTTCGTTGGTCGACTGGCATCCGCGTCCTCATGCGTGGAGGGAGAATTAAACGTTGCGCTCTCATTGGTTGGAATTTCCGAGGCAGTGTCGTAGAAATCAAATTTCAACCACGGGTCGGCCAACCGCGCTTCGAAAAGTGTTTATAAAACGCAAGAGGACTCAACCACAGGTTCAAGTTCCACCCGAGATTGGTCAACCACGGGTTCAACCGAACTGTTATCGTATTTATAAACGTTTATAAATACAATGCTGTTATAAAACCGAGCCTTAACATTTTCTTGCATTACCTTTTTGATAGCGGAAACCAATATTCGCAACAATTGGACCCATTCAATCAGTCTTTAGAACTTGCAAAAGGGACTGAAACGAAAAACGTTCTAAAATACAAACGTAACCTGCCTATAATATCTACACAAATATTCATTTGATATAATTAATCTTTGCACCATTGACATAAACGCCTATCTACATTCAACCATTCGTAGATGGTTCTGATCGCTGCTCGTGCCTCGTGTGAAACCATCAACATCGCTAACGGGTTTCTTACATTGCCTTATGTTTTGGACTTGTTACGTATACGAATTACTAAAATAACCTCAGCTCTCTTACTGCTGCGACTGGTAAAATTGGACCACCATTATGTCTATCTTGAGTTCAAAATAACGAATAAGATTAAGTTGCTTACTTTTTCTTGGTAAACCCGATGGCATTTTTGGGTTATACAACTTTTGGCGCAGAATATCGCAGTGAGACTTATGGAAGATATGTATCTGTAATGTTTCGTTATAAAACTATCGGCGAATGTGGCAAAACGCGATAAAATAATGAAAAGGGCCAAATTTGACAGGTAACCTGAAAACAAGAAAAAAACCTTTTCACTAATTTTTATTTATTCTGTTGTACCTATACATTTTATTAAGAATAGAATAATCTTAATTTAATAAATAATTTAGATATTGGTTTATTAAAAAAACATTTGAAAAAGATGGAAATAGGTAAGTTTGGTTGTATATCTTCAGGGGTATTTGACTTGTATATTTAAGAATTGAACATAGGAAATTTGTATGTTCAGATTTTGAATTTACGTACTGTAGCTTAAAAATTTTCGAGGTTAGTGTATAAAAGGACTCCCAAATTCATATTTAGATGTTTTTTTACGTATTTAATGCATATTTAGACCTTGCGTTACCGAGACCCCAACGTAATGACTTCTTGAAATTTCGGGTTGTTCGTCAATATGTAATAAAGTAAACAATCATGTCATTGTCTTAAAAATCTCTCAAAAAAATTATAAAACACAAAAAGGTGGGAGTAGTTAAAAAAAATGGTAGCAGTTTTAAAATTCAGTCAATATTAGGAAGGAGGGTATAAGAAAACGGGCAGTAATAAATTAATCCATATATTTTATGACACATGAAATTCAGAAATATATATTTAGAAATTATCTGTGTATATTTTGTAATGTACTTATTTTATAATAACTAAATATTTAGGCAACACACACTAACTTATCTATCTTAAATATTATACAGGTTCAACAGCATCCCTACATATTTTGAGATCACAAAATATATATTTAATAACAAATGTAACAATTTTTGAAACAATTTTGCGAGAGAGTCGATTAAACTTTTTATTTGTGTAGGTATTGCTTTTCTTCATAATTGGCAGTTATCGGTACATCTAGTTTAAGAGTATAATGCCCCTTTTTAGAGATCTACAAAAATTTGAACTTCGACAACAATAAATAATGATAATCGACAATTTCGCAATTTTGTCGAATTTTCATTTTATAAAATTTCGTAGGAATCGTCAGCTGCCTAAAATAAAAGAAAAAAATATCGCGTTGAGTGGTAAATGAAAATTCAGATCTGCGAAAATTCTTATTTGGTAAATCTTACGTAATTATTTGGAAATACTGTCTCAATGTTAACGTATAACAGAAAATTTATCACATATTTTTGCAACACAAGTTATTAAAATAATATACAAAATATCATGTCTCTAGTAAAGCATCTTCAAATAATTAACGTCTCTCTATACTTATATTTTATAGCAACTAAAAATTTAAATAAAGAAAACAAATATAAATATATATATTATTTAAAGTTCTTTCTCATAATAAAAAGTACAAATATAAATTTTTGGCAAGATAATAAATAGAATATTTATACAATCGGGGATGGAGGGGAAGAGAAAGATTAACGAGACTCTTAAAGAATCGTCTCGCCGTACATCCCAAAAAAAAAGACAAAAAGCGCCTATGATTTTGATTGTTCCGAAGGTACCTGAGAGAATTCATAAAAATTTTGCGATTGGTCAATTTTTCGGGCTATGCGGAGGAAGGGACGTATTGCAAGTAGACACAATTAAAAAAACTATCTCACTCGTAAACAGGCACTCGCGAATCATTTACACAATAATTAAAATCGTGGAACGTCTTAGAATCGTCAATTGATGCGATTATTGTGTCGTGGATGCAAAGTTGGGGGGGGGGGGGGGACAATTCGAAAACGTTCCGTCCGTATGGAGGATTACATTAGAACTACTATATATTATACAAGAGTTGCTATGTGCTAAGCACCAGCTTTGTACTTTACAATTGATAAAAAATATTATTTTTATAACAATATTTGAAAAATATAAATAAAAACAAACGGATAATAACAAGAACAATTTTGACAAATAATCTAACAATCATTTGCAAAACATACAAATTTAAATATCGAAAGCGGATCAATCCATTTCAAACTTGCCTTTTTCGATTATTTTGTCAATTTCAAATTTTTAATAACAATTTTAGTGTCATGGAAACCAATTTGAACCTACTGAAATTATGAAAAAAAAATATATTAAGTCCACAATATGGACCAAATTTTTCGCAGATGATCAGTCTGTCTGGCGACGCTCACTTTAGAGACCACGCGATCAAATTTAATTTTCATGGTTGCTAGGCGATTGTGTGAATTTTTCAAAAATTACATTAACATGTTACTTGGCGCTAGTGTCCTCACTGTAAAAGGCATATTTTTGTAAAATAATTATTAATTAAATGGTTTTTTTATTACTGTGCTTCGACTGATTTGCAGCTATGACTCATGACTGATAGTATGATTTCGCTACAGTGAACCAGTACAGCACATTATAATCAACCCTGTAGTCAGAATTCCGTGTAAAAAAAACTTTTGCTCGGTCTCTCAATCAGTTCTAAACACTAGGAAAATGAAATTGAGAATCATTGAGAACATTTGAAGCGATTTGGCCAGATCATTTTCTTTACTTTGCTGTAACGTGGGAAATTCAAATTTTAAAAATCTAAAAATGTAAAATGAAGCAGGCTTTCGTTTGATACCAAGCCCATTCCATCTGCCCTATAGTTATTTTTTCATTTATTTATCGAGATTATATGTTTTGCACATTTTAAAAAACTCTTAATAATAGTCACAGACCATTAACATTAGCAAGAATGTAGTTTCAATCGGTGAAATTTCAATGTTTTTCTTTTACCCAAAATGGATACCTTTGTAGTTTTAAACTTCAAAAACTTCCCTTTTTAAAAATTTTGGTATTTTGTTGTATAAAAGTTTTTTTTTACATGGAAGTTTTTAACACAACAAATTCGATTGGCGCCCTCTAGATGATTTGAAATGGACTGATCCAAGCGCAAGCTTTTCCGAAACAAATAAACCCTCTAAATATCGTACTTTTTTTTCCAAAGGTGACTATTAGATAGCGTGAAAGAAACCTTTACAAGGCTAACGTATGTACAACTTACAAAAGAAAAAGAAGGTGTCGGCGAGGAAACGATCACTCAGAGGGCATATTTGGTGTTATTGCTTGATTTTCCGTGATAACACTTTTCAAGTGCGCCTCCTCGACCTCACTATTTACAATGGAAGAACTGTCAAGATTCTCTTTTATTATCGTGACCTCGCAAATTTCACTCGGTTTGTGTTCGGGAGCGCCGTCTTTACTTATCACGCCGTTGTACACGGGACTTAGTTTAATCGTCTCAAGTTTATTCCGTTCGTTCTCCAATTGCGCAATCCTGAACTCGAGCTCCGATATTTTATTGTCCTTAATTCGACATTCCCGAACCGCGTTTTCGTGCTCTTTGGCAATATTTCTAACTAATTCTAATATTCTATTTTTAACGTCGACGCAGACGCCTTTCAGTGCCTCCTCAATTTTGAGCACGTCGGGCTGTTTCTCCGACGTTTCGGACGCACTGTCGTCGGTGTCGGTCGACAGTTCGATCTCCGAATTGTACCTCGGCAAGTCGGTCGGATGGACGACGGACGCTGACGACGTCGTGTCTATCACGCTCGGCTGCTGTTCCGTCACCTTGTCGACCACCTCGAGCTGTCGTTCGTGCTTGATGACGGTCTCCTTTAGTACCGGCGACACCGGGCACTCCTCTTTAATATGAACGTTCTCGCCACCTCTTCCGTATCGCAGCTTTTTCGGCGTGGGCGGGGCCAGCGCCACGTTCGGCTGGTAACTCTGCTCGAAGCGCTTCGACTCCGATAGCGGCACCACCCGTTCGGGATTCTGCAGAACGGGCGGATCCGAATATCGGCCGATGCCCATTCGTATTTTGCTCTCCTTTAAGCCGAGCGGCGGGAACGGTTTGAACGCCGACATGTGATGCCGATTCGCTTGTATATCGTGTAAATACTGTAGATACACGGGATCCAAAGCGGCGGCCGTGTACAACTGCTGCATGTTGAACGAGAGGTGAGCGAAGTCTTCTAGTTTGTTTTTCTTCAACGGAATATCTAACATTTCCGTTTTGATCAGTCCTAAGTCGTGATGCACCTGCAAAAGAAATACAGCGTAAGCATACAAGAATATTAAAGTGAAATGAATGAATATGATATTTTTTCGTAATTTTTCTTGGCCAAGGTTATACAAAAAAATCAAAAGTGGCACTTGGTGAGTGCATACAGAAGTGACTACATCTTTCTCACAATCGCTCACTTCAAAGATGCATTATAGAAAAAAAAAACGCGCGCGCGCGCGCTTGGGTTCGAACCAGTGACATCGACCACCGGAAGGTGGCAGCCTTAGCCTGACTACACACGTGCCGGATGGATACGACCGGTACCGGTACGACGACGCTAGGTAATGGGAGTTGTGTTGCAGTGGCGAATGGCTATTCGGCGCCGGGCCGACTGTCGCCGGCCACGCTCACGGGATCACCCGGGTAACGAGCAGAACGTACTAGGTTATACAAGGTGTTTTTTGGGAGCTTTAGTTCAAAGTTTCTGGGAAAGTAAAATAGGTAGGTTTTTGAAAATTTGCACTTAGGAGTTACTCTGAAGGCCGAATCGATGTAAAATATTTCCAAAATGGCCGCACTTCCGGAAACACCGGAAGTAGATAGTAACTTCGTTATTTTAAATGGCAACTCCTATTTTTTATTGCATTTTTGGATTCTACGTGAAATTTCAGTTCTTTTGATACCATATGTCGATATCTGCCATTTATGGTTTTTAAGTTATTTTGACTTTTAAAAAAAATGGCGGATGCAGATGGTACCTTGATAATTCGTTACTTGAACAAGTTTATAGTCATGGCAACCCATTTTTATCATTGCATAGAGAATGAATACGGCTTTCTTTTAGTGTAGACTTAAAAAAAGTAAAGTAAGTTGCGTACAACCGCACCTATGGAGATCCAAATTTAAGAAACTTTAAAGTCTATAAATAACTCAGTTTTTTTTAATGGAATGACCATGTTCTTAATATTGCATGAGATAGAGAATCGAAATTGGCATATTTTGATATTACATGTTCCTATAGCTATCTTTAACAGTTTCTGATTTATTCCCATTTCATTGAATTGATCTCGGAATTGATGCCATTTTTTTTCGCATTTTCTTTTTCGTAGTTGGCCATGATTTTATAACAATCGAATTTTAAACAAATCAAGGAATGGATTCTTTAATACCATTGATTCTAGTTCTAGTCTAAATAATTCATTAATAAATAACTCATTTATTACGGATATAGGGCGGAAAATTTTTGAAAAATCTAAACAGAGTCGTTCAACTGAACAGGTAATGCGATATCTGCTCTAGCAACAATTCCATACCAAAAATGTTTCAACGAAGTTTTTTTTATATTTTGCATTGAATTTATTTTGTTAATCTTGCATTTGCAATTCAATTCATTTTCTTAAATATTCTCTTGTAGAGCTTTGTATCGCTTGTGCTTCAACGGTTTGTAGTGCATTAGGGGTAGAAAATTTCCAAAATTTATACAATTTCGTTCCAGTTTTCGCATGAATGTACGGAAAGCACGCGCCGCGATTTTGCCCATTTCGCCATAAATAACAATTAAATTCCAAAATAGGTGAAACCACTGCGAGTCATTTTTCGATTTTTGAAAAACTTATGTTAACCTATAACAGTGGGTGATGGATTAGTGTCACTAGATTTGTTTAAAATTCAATTGTTATAGAATCATGGCCAACTACTAAAAAGAAAATCCAAAAAAAATAGTGTCAATTCAATAAAAAGGGGAATAAGTCAGAAACTGTTAAAGATAGCTATAGGAACATGTATTGTCAAAATATGCCCATTTCAATTCTCTATCTCATGGAATATTAAGAACATGGTCATTCCATTTAAAAAAAACTGAGTTTTTAGTCTTTGAAGTTTCATAAATTTGGATATCCATAGGGGCGGTCGTACGCAACTTAACTTTTTTTAAGTGTACTAAAAAAAAAACCTTTTCATTCTCTATGCACTGATAAAAATAGGTTGCCATGACTACAACCGTTTTCAAGTAATCAATTATCAAGGTACCATCTGCATCCGCCAATTTTTTTCTTAAAGTCAAAATAACTTAAAAACCATAAATGGCAGATATCGACATATGGGTATCAAAAGAACTGAAATTTCACGTAGAATCCAAAAATGCAATAAAAAATAGGAGTTGCCATTTAAAATAACGAAGTTACTATCTACTTCCGGTATTTCCGGAAGTGCGGCCATTTTGGAAATATTTTACATCGATTCGGCCTTCAGAGTAACTCCTAAGTGCAAATTTTCAAAAACCTAACTATTTAACTTTCCCAGAAACTTTTAACTAAAGCTCCCAAAAAACACCCTATAGAATTCTATTGTAACATACACGTGCCGTGCCGGCAGTCTAGTGCAGTGTGGGAATTCTAAAAATTGTCCTGGGTGGGGGATTTTGATTAAATTGTCGGAGGGGGGGGGGCAAATTGTGATAAAATTTTCACCATCCAAACAAGTACATATATTGTAGGATAACCCCTGATACAGTTGTTCCTGGCAGTTTTCCAGATTACAGGGTGCAGGTGCCAGTCTAACTCACTAAACTATTGAGACTGTCCTATTAATAGTCGTTTATACTGTTATAAATGCGATAAACTAATACGTATCATTAAAAATCATCGCTCACTTTATTCACTTTGATGCTATATAAATATACGCTTTAAATCTGAATATTTGTCAATTTCAAAAGAACATCGATGATTTTAATGAGACATATCCATCCAAATGCCGAGCTCGCATTCGGCTCGCAAGGCATTACTCGTGCGTGTCGCGTGACGAATGAGATGATTTTACTCCCGTGCAAAAACGTGCTATGCATACCCAACGATGAGAACTATAAACGTATTCGAAACCCAACACGTAATAAGCTATTGCTTACCTGCTATTCTTATTTGACCACCCGGTCACATTCGCTATGAAGCGGTACTTGTGCCAATTTCCCTATGTTGGCCAAAATTTAAATTCAAAACCCAAATTTTTGACACGGGCCCTATTAAGAGGGATAAGACCAAACCCTTAGTCAAAGCATGGATTTCTGGAATAAAATGAAAGTCCAGAAAGTTGTTTTTTTCACTACTAGCGTCTGATGACATGATTATTAACCTTTTTTCCACTTGTAAAGTAGGCTTTCTCGGCATTTGTTCAAAGTGGTTAATAATGTGGATATTATTAACTAGTAATCAATAATGAGAACTGTCACGCTGTCACTTTTAGAAAACACAACCCGAAATTTCGCTCAATAAACGTTTAGACAAGTTCTCTAAAATGAATTACCACCATCCGCCATTTCCAGAGAAATTACATACCTAAAATTATCACATTTTGAAAAAAATCGAACGAAATTACTCTTTGAAAATATCTCAATGACAGAACAAAATACGGCCTGTTTGACTTGTACTTCCACGTACTTGATTGACATGTTAAATTAATAAACAAAAATTCTGTCCAACCGTTAACTCTCTTATCAATATAATATGTTAATTTAGAGGATTTCAAGTGCTAGTAGTGAAAAAAATAGTATATATACCACGGTATAGAAGTCTATTATTGCCTTCGCACCTTACACCCCTCGGCGCAAGCGCCTCGAGATGTAATCTTGGTGCTCAGGCAATAATACTGTACTTCTTTACCTTGATATAATGTACTATTATAGTACTCGTACTTTGAAAAGGCTTAAACAAGGAACAAGATTACAAAACATAAAGGACACACTTGTTAAGAGATGAAACAGATTATGGATCGAAGGAGACAACTGGAAGAAATAAACTGGAAGGAAGAATGGCTTCAGAGAACTACTAAACGGCATTATACGAGCAAAAGAGATTTTTACAATATTGTACACCCTGTATATACAATATTATAAACAAAATTATGTTGGTATCCCTAAATGGGTGTATTGTATTGTGGTCTGTGGTATCCACGAACTTATAAATTAAGATGGAGTGTTGATCAAACAGTTGCATAGAGGTAGAAATGGCCCTAGCATGGGCGCGGCCATGATGTGCACGTTTTAGTTATTTTCTAGGGGAATTTTCCTAGTGCTCAAGTTTTGAGACTATTGCAGCCTTGGAAAATGACATGTGTCGCACTAATTTATTTAGAAAATGTGAGGTTAATACTTGTTTATTAGCTGATTTGAATTTCGCGCCCAAGTGAGTGCACATCATGGCTGCCCCCATGTAGGTGTCATTTGTCAATTCAGCATTAGCAGTCCATCTTAGGGCCGGTTGCACAAAGACAGTTTAAACCATTGAACTATTGGTTTAAACCTAGCTTGGAATTAACCGGTGGATTACGGTCTAGGATTGGTTGAAATTTGACGTTTTGTCAAATTTCCACTAATCATATGTCTTAATCCATTGCGTTAATTTAAACGAAGTTTAAACTGCGTTTGTGCAACCGGCCCTTAATTTATAAGTTCGTGGTGGTATCCCTGTCAGCTACGTCAAGATGGCGTCGATCGGGTTGCGGATAAACGGGAGCTGCATTATAATATTTCTTAAAAATTCCTTCTGAAAAACCTTTTTGTGTCCTTTGGTCACAATTCATTCGATATACAGGGTGAGTTTTTTTCACTTTAAGCATTAGGATCTCGGAAACAGTAAGACATAGAGATTTGGTTAAATGAGGAAAGAGTTGTAGTTTTAAGAGTTTATCCAAGATAGGCTTTTGTTTTTTTAAAAAAATCCACAGTTTACTAGATATGAGCAAAAACCGGTTTTAGTGATTTTTCATTTAACTGTTGTAGAATCGTTAGTATTAGAAATACAGAAATATGCAAAGAACAAAAATTATAGATTTTTTTCCCTTTAATAAGATACATTTATTAATATTTCTTCTTCTTTTATAATTTTCGAGTTATAACGCAAACTTACATTTTTTTAAATGGTAATCATAGTTGGCTGTGACAATTTAAAAAGTGCATTTTTTTCTGTTTACAATGATATAAGGTTCATTGTACTTACTTTGACAAATAAACATGATACACAAATGTTTGCATTATTAAGAGTAG